CCCAGATGCAAGACCCTACACTTGCCCTTATCATATTTCATTATGTCCAGCTACCTCAGTGATGTCTTCAGCACAAGGCCAATACTAGACCTGGAGCAGGCTCTAGTTTGTTGCTGTGCAGCATTGTCATCATGTTTGTTATGAACCCTAGATTGCTAGTACTGATTTAAAAACAAACAAAAAAAAAGTACAGTCATCTTCATGAAAGAGGAGGACAGGAGAAGAAGATTGTGCTTCCTTGTTGCATTAATATACCATTGACAATGAAATTCAGTAGCAGCACAGACAATAATAATAAATAATTAACAATAATAATCATTTAATTGTTAATAATTGTCTAATAAAAGAACAAGCCTAATATCCCTCAGAAATCATTATCTCTGATGAGGCAGTTGTATCACTTCCTGCTTCAATTATTGACAACAGCTTTATCCAATATTCATAACCAAATTCTTTCTGGAAATTAATCTGATCTCGTTAATATGTTTCCTTGTCTTCCTCAAAAAATACATTTGTCACTGGGAGAAAATAAAATGCTGATATTGAATGTTTCCATTGTTCTGCTTGCTATAATTGACAGGACTATAATTTGGTTTGTTTTGCCCCTCTCCCTCTCTGGCTGGCATTAAGTAAAAGTGTCTCATTTTAAAGAATATCAAATGCATATTATCATATAATATCTTATGAAGCAGGACATTTTTTCTGCCTCCAAATATCCATGTACACCATCAGAACTCAGGTTTCATCTTTTGCCCGTTTTTAGGTGTAAAATAATGTGGACTAACCCTCTAGCTCTTGCCAAGAAGTAAATAATAATTTTTATGTCAGATCAGATGCCAGGTTTGCGAGGACAGCACTGCAGCCATTGGTTGACCAGTTTCATAAGAACTTGATGCTCTGTCGGTAATACCTCACAAGATGTGGTTTTGTCAGAATACTCTCATACCCACTTTGTCTTTTGGAACATCTTTGTTCTAGCAGTTCTTTAAAGATAAAATTCACTGTCCTCTTTTTCTAGGAACATGGTTAAATAACACAGCTTGGGAAGGAGAAAAGGGCAGAAATAATTGCTGTGCCTATCAGAAGTAGGTGGACAGCCTTACACTGCCAACCTGGTGAGAATGGCCTGGGTTTTGGCATTGTTCGCTGTGTTACAGTTTTCTTACTATGTGGAGAAAGAGTAAGAAGTCAGGAAATCTCTCTCTAAATTGCTTTAAAAAAAAAAATCTCTAACTTATTACTAGAAAATTCCATCTTGGAGAGGAGGAGGGAAGAGGTTTTGGTGGTTTGAGCCCTCTTTCATGGTTTAGGATGTCAGAAGAATTATAGCCTTGTGTTACAGGCTCTTGCATTGCTAACTCTGCACTTTTGTGGCCTCATAAACAGAGTAAGTAATTCTGCTTTTTGTAGAGATTCCATGTACATCCTTTCTGTGGAACACAGGTTGCCAGCTGGTTGGTCTGAGCAAGAATGAGATTGCTTATTAACTGAGTAGGCTAAAGGAAATACAGGAAACAAGGGAAGGCTTTTTGGAAGACTGCTTGCAAAAGAAATTAATAGCTCTGTTGGACGAGGACCTTTGTCACTCTCAGTGAAGCACAAGGCTCTCTGTAGAGACTTAAAGCTTCTACAGTTAACAAGTTGTGTCATATAGAGTGAGTTAAATTGAATTCCTAATCCTGCTAAAGCAAGAAATTCTATGAAATTTAGTGGCTCTAGAAAGATGTTTCCCATAAATCTCATGCCGTATCTTAGTTTGAATATTATCTGCTCTGACTGCAGGATTCTTTCATCTGCCTTCTGTTCCGAAGGGCAGAAGAAAAATTAGAACTAAGTATAGTATAATGTGCATACATAACAAAATGGTAGCAGCAATGGGTCTTGCAATACACTGGTATTTAACAAGATTCCTAGAATTGTGAATCACAACTTACTTCAAATATGAAATATCATAGGAGCCTTGACTATGAGTTTGTTGCTGCTCTTTATTTTGTAAAAGGTGCTGTGCTGTGTGTCACTTGTGCAAAAACAGAGAACGATCCAGAAGGCCCTGCAGGCAAATAATAATGCAATTCATAAAAGCTTTAAGGCTCGTGGAAAGTACGAAAAAGTTATTTTCAACAGGGATTTTGAAAGAAATGGGCAGGGAATTTAGATAGGAAGCAGGAAGGCCTTTCAACCACAACTGGTAGAATCTGCCCTGGGGTATGACCTGCAAAGAACTGTACTTGGGCTAGTTAATGAAAGAATATGAGTGCATGTATGTCTATTGAGAAAGAGAGTTAAAAATAAAAAGAGCCACCCTGAGTTGTTCTTTGCAGTGATAATTACTGAATTTTCCTTACAGCACCTAAGAGTCATCTCCAGAACCGTTTACTGTTTCACCTGGCACAAAAGGTATGATGTCTTTTCTTCACCGATGTTTTGTTTGGGTTTTTTTTTTTCAGTTGGGTAATATGTAATTCATGCTGGCAACCTGGCAGAATAATTAAAATGTCTGTGGTGGCAGGAGAACAAACATTTTCCACAACCACCCTACTGTATTCAAATGTGGAGGAGAAAGTAACTGTCAAAACATGATCTCAGAATAGATGCCCTCAGCATATATCTAAGGAAAGTCTTACCAACTCACTTCACCTAAGTCCTACAAAGTCAAAACTATGAAGCCCACTGCTATTCTGTTAAGGAAATTCTCTTGCCTTTGTATTGGAGTATCATTTTGTGACTGGTTCAAAGAGGGAGGAAAATAATGTGACAAAAACTGTGCAGATAAATGAAAAACAACTATGTTAGATAGAATTTGTATGTAAGAGAAACTCATAATTACTGTTGAATCACTATAGCTAACAAAGGGAAGCACTGGAATAAGTGATTTGAGTAGACTGTTCAGGTGAATAGCTTCAACTTTACTATTGTAATACAAACATAACAGGTATGTTTAACTCTGTTCCTTACTTTTATACTTGTATGTGTGTGTTATGTCCTATACAGCAATGCTTTTTAAAATAAACCATTTAGTTGAAGTAAATGGAATTTTAAGGGGTTGATGAAATAGAATTTGTTAGTGCTGTAAAGATGTCTTGTAAAAATTAGTGCTGTTGTGTTGGCAAGTCTTGCATTTTTCTGCCATCCATGAGAAATAAGATTTGTGTCTACAAACAGCAGAATTTCTGCTGGCTCAAGCAATAACAGTCAAATATTGTGATGTGGAATTCTGTTTGTGAAATAATTTACTCATCTTTTCTTTCCCTCTTATTCATCGAGGCACATGACATGTAATTATATCTAAATCACACCTTAAAGGAATATATGTATTTAGTTTTAGCCTCACATTTATTTAGTTTCAACTCATCTGCCTCTTTAATGTTTGGCTTTCTCCAATGGTCAAATTCACTTTAAAGTAACAGAGTTTTTCCAGATGTTTAATGTGAGTCACCTGCTGCTTGCTAATTAACATAAAACTTTTTTTTTTCTCACTGAACTCTTCTATTCTTCTGAGAATCTCACCTTTTTTTTTTTTTAGTTCAGGGATGAGAAGAAACTGATGGACTCTCACCAGAATCTGCAAGACATTACATTTTTTTTTCTCACTGAACTCTTCTATTCTTCTGAGAATCTCACCTTTTTTTTTTTTTAGTTCAGGGATGAGAAGAAACTGATGGACTCTCACCAGAATCTGCAAGACATTACAGAAGATCAGCTTAGTTTGGCATCTATCCACTACATGCGATCCCACTACCAAGAAGCTATTGATATCTACAAACGCATTCTTCTTGCTCATCGGTGGGCATCTCTACTTTAAACCTTATTGCAGTGTGTCTGATACTGTTAGTGTTTGAATTCCATTTAGCTGCTTGGCTTCTGAAAGTAGGAATTTTCCCCAATTTCTATGTCCCTTCCCCACCACAAAATGTGCACAAGTTTCATCCCCATCAATTTTGTTCATTGCAAATCATTATTGAAAAATGCATTTTAAGAAGTCTGCTCTCTAGTGCTTTCTTTTAATTATATTTTCATGTAATTCATTCTGAGGTCTTTTTTTTATTTTATTACTTCTTTCTTCTGAAATTATATATGGTTATGTACCTGCTTTGTCTTCTTCTTTTTTTCCCCTCTGATGGCCAATCTAGTGACCCTTGCTTGTGATTACTGACTTATCCTTCACCTCTTAGCCTTTCTAAAAAGTGTTCAGTTCTTAGTTTTTATGTAGAGAGTTCCTTACATTCCATTAAGTCTGAAATTCTTTCCATTTCTCTTTATCCTACTATGACACTTGTTGATGGTTTTTTTCTATCATGGTCTGCAAGTTCTTAGTTCAGAATTTAACAAGGAACACATTGAATTCTTAAGTGGCTGGAAGTATTGTTTAATAAAATAGAAACTGCTGTCCCAGAATACATAGCTATTTTTTGGCAGTAGCTCCTCTTGAGTGCTTCACAGGAGTCCATCATAATGTAAGTAAGTGTGTCATGTAGTGCTTGGGGAAAAGATTTTAACTTCCAAGTCTCATTAGAAGTAAAAGAGTAACCTTCATAACACTTATCCTTTTATTTACTGTTACTACAAATGCCTGTTGCATTTCTGTGTCTAGTTCTTCTGGCTTGATAGCTTGTAATTGCAAGGATTTTTTAAAATAATTGTACTTGGTATAAGATAATAAGATCCATTAAAATATTTTCAAAGTTTTGTGTACATATTAGATGTCTTTGCATGTATTGCATAGAAAATCCTATTCTTCCAGGCCAAATACTGTGCTCATGTTCTGTGTGTTTCCTGAGCGTGGAGTTGCCACTATTTCCCAGATTCATAAACCAACAGTTTCATAGGTCATTCTTTAAAGCTGTAGTGGTTGCCATTGAAAAACCTAATACAAATCTGGATCTGTGCAATCTTACCTAAAAAACTGGACCTCTAAAGTTACCTGATAATAATTTTTCAGAAACTCCAGTTTTGATGTGCTTATAGAAGATGTATAGACATGTGAGAGCTTTATCACTGATTTTAATATTCTGTAGTATAACTATCTGGTGGGATTTAAATGTTCTCTTTACTCCTCTCTCCTGCAGGGAATACCTGGCTCTGAATGTATATGTAGCCCTATGCTATTACAAACTGGATTACTATGATGTATCACAGGAAGTGCTAGCTGTTTATCTTCAGCAAGTTCCTGACAGCACCATCGCTCTTAACCTGAAGGCTTGTAACAATTTCCGACTTTACAATGGGAAGGCTGCTGAGGTATCTATTGGACATCCCTTCAGTTCACCTTTATTTTAGTTCATGATTCCTTACAGGTTTCTTTCCCATGTCTTAATCAGTAATGTTGATAATGGCCTTTATCTTGTCATTGTCTCTTAGGAATGTCACCATTTTCAGTTTCCCTGGTATTTAGCCATCTCTCCACATGTGCACCATGGTCTTCCAGTTTTCTCAGTCCACTTTTGACCTTGTGTCTATATGTATTATCCAATTGCTAAAATCATCACATAGAAGTGGGAAGGCAAAAATCTTCCAGTTTTCCAGCACTTCTGAATATATATTTCTATCAGCTTTGGGGCTCATATGAAGCTCCATTTATGCTTGTGTGTCTTTTTGTTTTCATATTAAAATTTTTGAATGCATGTAATTCCAGGCAGAGCTCAAGAACTTGATGGACAGTGCCTCATCATCTTTTGAGTTTGGCAAGGAGCTCATTAAGCACAATCTAGTGAGTATGCACTTATTTGTAGAGCTTTTCTTAATGATTCATAAAATTGACTGTTTTGGGAATCGCAGACCCAGTTGAATCTCTGCTGCCATGTAAGTGCCATTCCAGAAATCCTGCCTGTATAATCAATTTGCCTCAAGTCTATTTTTTTCCTGCAATTTTTCCCTGACAGTTTGAGGCTGAGAAAATAATAATACTGTTGTTTTCACCCTCAAAGGCATATTAAAATAATTTATGTCCTGTAAGAATACCTTTGCAAGATATTTTGGGGAGCCCAGTCAATAAGGACACTGTAGAAACAAGTAAGAATGCATGACCCTGAACTCTTATTTAGTACAATAAACAAGTGGAATTAGAATAACTCAGGGAAAATGGTCGTCATCAAAAAGTGCTTAACAAGGAGTTCATAGGGAAAAAGATGTTGATAAAAGCCAGAATACTTTGTGTGTTCTGTAGTAAAAGAGTCACTAATCACTTATTAATTTTCCCTGTAGTGGTATTATTACTTTGCTGAACAACCGGGTAACAGTAGATTGCTCTTATTTAATATGGGCAGTTGCTTGCTTTGTCGTTTTTAAAGAGCAGTCACAACAAGCTAACACTTTTTTCCCCTAAGGGTTAAAATGACTTTCAAACTGAACTGTTGTAAGTTGACATTCTTTATTTTGACTGTTGATCTTTTTGCCAGTGGTTTATTTAATAATTATATTAGATTTTGTTGGAGGAACTCTCATATGAAACTGAAGTATAAAGAATTGACTGCTTCTGATCATTTTAGTATCTTGTGGCATTCTAAATAAATGTGGAGTCATTAGCCTAATTTTTTCATTTTAATACATCATAAGCAAACTTAATTCTATATGTGTTCCCCTCACTCTTGTCTCAGACCAGTATTCTTTAAAATCTTTGATACATAATGTATTGCTGCTTTGAGGTGCTAAAAGCTGAAATAAGTTAAGCTTTACTGATGGATTAAATACCCTATATTCATTAGAATAAAGACAGTCACATGTTGCAATTCTATAGTTACATAAAAGCTGGGATTATGCTAATGCCAGCACCACTGACCTTTTCCTACTGTTAATATAGGTATTTAAGGATTAATTTGATTGAATTAAGATATCATATACAAGATTTTGATACAGTTATCAATATGCTGCTTTTCTCTGCAGGTGGTATTCCGAGGAGGAGAAGGGGCTTTGCAGGTCCTGCCTCCTCTGGTTGATGTTATTCCTGAGGCAAGACTGAATCTTGTGATTTACTATCTTCGGCAAGGTAAACACACCTTCCTCTGGCTCTTTAATAGCTTCAGGGATGACATTCATTCATCTGATCTCAACCAACTGTTCCATGAAATGCTTTTTTTTTTTTCCCCCCCAGTAAAATATAGTTTATTTCATTTTGTGTTCTTCTGGAAAATAGCGATGCAAAATTTCCCATGGCTTGCAGAGAAGGGCTTTAGTTGTGTGCAGTCAAATAAATCTACTTCAGCAGAGTATTGGAGGTTCCTTGGGTTACGGGAGATGGCTTTGAGGATGGTGGTGTTTATATGTTCATAGTGAGAAGACCTCTCCTCTGCCTGAATATGTGAGAATGGTAGGCCTATGAAGATAGGGATGAGTATTTCTCTAAATACAGCACAAACAGAATGTGAGCCAAAGTAACTGTGAACAAGGCTACAGTTTGTGAGCAAGACATTTAATTCCAAATCTACTTTACAACTCTTAAAGAATGTGGGTAGGTAGCTAGAATCAGTTGGAAAGGATTTTCTACTTTTCCATCTTAAAGTCTTGCTAGTGTAGCAGCAGCAGTTAATGTGAGAAATCATTACTTCTAATGACTGTAGCTGTCTCTCCAGAATTTACAAGGTCTCTGATAAAGGCGGGCTTTTGTTAAGACACCTCTGACTGAACTGGAGTGACTGAAGCACAAACATGCATCTCAATTTTTTCAGTTCTTTAAGGCAGTGACTTAGGTAGCACGTAAGGTAGCAGAGTTTGTGGCCAGGAACCCAGTTGTAATCTGCTCCAGAGAGATGATTTGCTAGAGGTTTCTGTTGGAGCCTGGAAAGCATAGTTCTGTGTTGATGGTCAACACTCATGAAAATAGGGGCTGCAATCTTCTTTTTTTTTTTTTTTTTGTTGGTTGTTGGTGAGCTGAGCCAGCCAAAAATAACAAGAAACTATTTCTATAAAAAAAAAAAAAAAAGAGATGACTTTTGATTAGTCTAGTACCTTGTGCTGGTTTATTACATGACTGCTCAAGGGAATGGATAGGAAAGCAGCGAGACTAGATGGAAGCCTGGCAGCTCCAATGTATATTGCCTTAAGTCACCCTGGATTACTGTCCCCACAGTGTATAGATGGTATATACTAGCAAAAAAAAAGTTTTGTTTGATAAGGCTTGTTCTTATGAGCAGCTGGTATAATGCTGTATTAACAAAATTTTACCAGTAAAAAGGGTATCTTCACTAGGTTGGGCTACTAAGCAAACCATAGTACTAAATTCTTTTTTTATTTAGGTAAGGTTTAGGATGTTTTAAGCTTCCTTATTTCTTGGGTGGGAAGGAAGTTGTTTATTCAATTCAAACTTTACATTTAAACTTTTAAATTAGTAATGCTTTTTTACTTGTTAGAATTAGGATTAGGTAAGAGCTGCTGGATAAATTTGAAATATCAATAAGGAAAAGATGAAATTTCCCTTCAGAATCATGTTACCCTATCCTCCTGAGGAGTAAATAAATATGAGAAAAGACAGGAAGATAAATTTATTATCTTGACCTTGTACTGTTGAGAAGGCAGCATTGGATTATGAAGAAGGGGAACAAGTCATCTTTACTAGGAAAATTGTAATAATAAAGAAGATGTTACTCACTCCGTGTTTGTTATTTGAGTTCTAGAAAACCATCACCATTGTCATATAGGTTGACCATGATTTATAGTTACCTTTCTCCTCCTGTCTAAATGCTTTATTTCTTAGCCTGTGACTATTGGGTGATGTTGTAGAGGATGAGTGGTTTGTTCTAATACAGTGTGCTGTGGGCAGTCATGCATTCTAACATCTGGTATTTCAGATGACGTGCAGGAGGCTTATAACCTGATTAAGGACCTGGAACCTACAGCGCCACAGGTAATTGGAAACTCATGTCATGTTACACAAAGGCAGAGGTTTTAAGTTAGTATGAAATCTGCCACATTCAAAACTAGTATCCTGAGGACAGCTTGCCCCATTCCTACACTTTTAAAACTCTCGTGTTTTCCATCTGTCAACAGTAGACTTAATGTGCATGCATAAAGTATTATATATGAGTGTATGTAAGCACTTAGCATGTTTATTGCCATGCCACCTGGGATCAGTAAGAATACAGCTCTGTTATGTGCAGACTTGATTGTAGTGAGCTGACCATTAGTGCATAGGTAAAAGCCCTCTTCCAATTACAGCTACTTGTCATTTCTGCCCTGGTGATTGTTACCATCGATGGTTACCCTTCCTCAGATCTATTAGCTCAGATGCTCATGTGGTTTGTCCTGAAGCCATTTCAATAAAAATGAGCTAGATTATATTAAATAGTTTAAATAATAGGTCTTTTCTAATTCCATCTCACTTTAGCTGCAGTGAGCAAAAACTGCAGTGTCCCTTGGCTGCTACTGTAATTTTATTTTGTGGCTGTTCCAACATCTTTAGTCTCTGATTTATTCCTCTTTGCAGTTTATTTTCCAAAGGTCACATAGTTAGGCATGAAAGGGACCTTTCATGAGTCTGTGAGGATTAGATGGAAGGAGGAAAAAGAACACAGATCTGGTGATTCTGTGCTGAGGAGTATCTTCTACTGTTGCTTTTCACTTCTTGTATTTCTCAGTATAGCAAGACTTACTTGAACAGTTTTCTGGAGCTATTGGTCCTTTAGCCTCCATTTTCCCCCATATATATATGCCTAGCATATATAACATGATATCATTCTTGATCACATTTTGAAATCAGTATCTTTCTGCTTGTTTTCCATTTTCTCACTCACACTTGGAAGGAACTCCACACTAAGACTTGCAAAACTACTTGTATATCCTCCTTCAGTTCTCAGATTTCATCTTTTGTTGATGTCTAATAATTTGGCACCTGTAAGAGAGTTGGTGTGCTAAAATTATTACTTAGCCTACTGGCTAGTGCTCTCAGATTGTTTCCTTGCACTCTGTTGTTGGTCTGTGTACATGTCTTTCTCTTTTTCCATGTTTACATCTGTGACAGGGGTGTCCAGGTTTATCAGGAGTACTTACTTCCACAGGTTTAAAGCTATAACTCTTAATTGTAAAATCTGAATAAGACAAATGAGTTACATGTTACATGCTGAGAAGATCTTGCTCAGAGAAGAATTAAACTATAGTTGTAACTTGTAATAGAGATTGCAAGGTGCTGTATTCCTATTTCTAATTTCAGTAGGAATGACCACATGACCATAGAGCACAAGCTTCTTGACATTATTGCCCTCATGAGGAATGCTGTGCATTTTGGAGCAAGGATGGTAGTGGTTAGCCAATGTGCATGCTTGAAAGTGGGATCTGTGCATTAATATAACAATATTTCACTTGATTATTGGTCATGTGATGATGAAAAGAGCATGATAGTATGTTGTGGTGTTCTTCTGGTGCATTGTCTTTGATCATAAGACTTATCAGAAAATACACTACACCTTTGCATCCCACATATTTAGCAGAAGTGACTAGCTAACAAGTGGAACAGATCTGGGGGAAGTAATTGTGTACTATTCTGCTGAAGCACTATCATACTCTCATAGAAACCAGCTACCTATTAAACTGAGTTGAGATAGGGTTGAATTTAGGAAGAAAATAATGTCAAGTAGGTTTTTACATGTCTCCTGAAATCTTCACCTTGTCTTCTCTGACACTTTTGAATTTTTTTTCAGGAGTACATCCTCAAAGGAGTGGTAAACGCAGCACTTGGACAAGAAATGGGCTCGGTGAGTAAAGCCCATGAGGTTCTCCAGCTTCTCCAACAATAGGATGTGAACAGATCTGCAGGGACTGGAATAGAGTGAAAGTGGCAGTAATTTCTCATTTAGATGGCAGGATCTCTTGAGTCTCTTAATCTTCTTTCCTACAGTACTCAGTCCAGAATGAGTGAAATGCAAATCTCTGTTGCTAGTCCTGACAATAAATCAAGCCGAATTTGTCTTCTCTGTCCTGCTTCCAATACACCTGTTTGCTTTGTCTGTTAGTTGCTCCACATCTGTTCCTTAGAGTATATTTTCACTGTGCACTGTAGTATCAACTCTGGAACTGATGTTTTGTTGTTTGGTTTTTTTTTACTCTCCCAGAGACATCATCTGAAAAGTGCTCAAAAGTTGTTCCATTTGGTGGGTGAATCAACCAGCGAATGTGGTATGTTTGAAATGTTCTTTCTCCATTCTGTAATCCTTCTTACAATATCCAAATATATTCCATCGGATCTTTGTCTAACTGCTGACTGTTAGCATGACTGTTGCTAGGCATTTTATTGCTATCATCTGAGTAACAGAAAGTCTTATTTGTACTCTAAAACAAATCTGTAAGTTTAAATTGTGGTGGTTTAAACCACAGGTAGACCAT